TGCCAAACCAGATATTTCTTTGCGAACTTTGACAGTTTCATGTGCTTGAAAACATCTGCTACCTTTCCCCTTCCTTTTGCCGTATAAAACTCCTGTCCCGGAAGCTGTTTGTAGTCGGCTTTGACGTAGGTTTTGTCGTCCATTACCACGCAGTCAAACTTCGTCAGCATCGTCGTGTACAGCCTCCGGGATCGCGCTTTGGCCGTCGTATTTTGTTTATCATCGCGATTTGGAGTCACTACCTTCTTGTAAGTCGATAGTCCGGCTCGTTTTTTGGCTCGATGCACGGTTGTAGACGATACACCCAGCTTATTTGCGGCATCCCGGAGAGAGATGTTAGGGTTTCGCTTGAAACTACCGGCAACTCTCTTTGTCATCTCAGCGGCTTCCGGTTTTCGATTTCCCCCCGATCCAGACTTCCTGGCTGTCGACAAACGTTCCCCAAACACTTTAATTACATTTGTAACGGTTGATTTGGCAACTTTTAGCGATTTTGCCAACTTTGCGTGCGAGTAGCTCGGATTTTCGCGATGCGCGAGCAAAATTTTGATACGCTGCTCTTCTTGCTTGGACGGCATTTTGACAACTGAAGAGTGAATTCCAAAATCAAAATAGGAGCAACATTCTACACACACACACCTTCAAAATGAGGGGTGTTCAGGTTTTTTAAATGCAAAATTGAAAGAAATACGTCAAGTTGATATTGACCAAATTTTGACCGTATCACCCTTTACGTTAGACATATCAAGCGACGATGTGTTGACGCGTGCTGATTTACTAACTCTAAGTGAAACGTGGATGCACGACAATACGCATATTGAAATTGAAGGTATGTCTATTTTTTGACAATATGTGTACCAACTTACATAAATAAAATCCTTATCCACAGGCAAGGTTGCAAAGACTCATTTCAGCTAAAACAATGTTTTTCTAAATTATGAAATAATTAGATGCCATGATCAAATTTTGAATTGGTAGGATACAAGAAGAGGTTGCAAAGAATGTGTTTGACATATTAAACCTGTTTATTTCACTTCATGAGAGTCACAATCAGTGATTTTTCACAAACTCACTCACTCACTCACTCACTCACTCAGCGATCAGCAAATCGCTGATTGTGACTCATAGAAAGCAAAATTTACAGGTTTTATGTTTCCAACGCATACTTTGTAACCTCTTCTTGTAAGTTACAAGTAAAACATGCCATCATACAATCTTTTGGTTTTATTATTCTGAAAAACATTATTTTAGCTGAAATGAGTCTTTGCAACCTTGTCCACAGGTTTCCAATGTGTCGTGAAATCAAAGCGTGAAAATGTGCGAGCAGCTGGCGTAGCTATTTACGAAAAGCCGGGGGTTTTGTTACCGTCTACTCCACATGCCATCATAAAGCTCAGTGAACATCGTGATCGGGATAATGATTTTCCGTCAGCTACCTAATAGCCGTCCTAAGCGAGCATACTGTTGGTATATATAGACTGTTCCAGAAGGTATAAGCACACCTTATTTTAACGGTCACTTTGAATATAATGAAATATTTCAACATGTTTTGGCTGCGTCCTTTTGTTTGCTCATTTCTGAATGACATAGCATCAAAAAAGTGTTCAGTTTTGTGTTTCCTGTCAAAATGCGTGGTCTTACTCCGGAACAACGAAAAAGTATCGTGCACAAATGGTGCACTGTGAGCGGACTCTCCTTGAGAAAATTGGCCAAGGAAGAGGGTGTTTGGGTCGGAACGGTACGAACTGCGATTAAAAAATATAGAGAACAGTGTACGTTTGAAGATGCGCCGAAGAGTGGCCGGAAATCCGGTCCTGTAAGTCCGGATATCGATAAAAAGATCAGGGATGCCTACAAACGAAAACCAGCGACTTCTGTTCGGGATGTTGCGAAAAAATTAGGGACCTCGTCGAGTAACGTCATGCGTGCCAAAGAAAGACTTGGGCTAAAAACATACCGGAAGCAGAAAAAACCAAAAGGAACCCAAAACAGGCCGCGTCCGTGAAACCACGCGAACTCTACGATTCGTTCTTGTGTCGAAATTCTGGGTGTATAATAATGGACGACGAAACGTACATGAAACTAGATTACAAAACGCTTCCCGGACCACAATTCTATACTGTAAGCGAAGGCAAGGACATCCCCGAAACGGAGAAGGCAATTTTACCAAAAAAAATCGGTAAGAAGGTTATGGTTTGGCAGGCAATATGCGAGTGTGGTAAAACATCTAGTCCGTACATCACAACGGAGACGATGAACACTCAGAAATACGTTAAGGAATGTCTCCAGAAGCGATTGTTGCCAATGATCAGGCAGCACGAAGGTCAAGTAGTATTTTGGCCTGATTTGGCGTCATGTCATTACGCAAAGGACACTTTAGAATGGTACAAAAATCAAAATGTTTGTTTCGTGCCGAAAGACATGAATCCGTCGAACTGCCCGGAGGCACGGCCAATCGAGCCTTTTTGGGCTTTAACCAAAGCAAAGCTTCGAAAATTAATAAAACCAACGGATGACATCCAAAAAATCAAAAAAGATTGGCCAAAAGTGGTCAAAATGGTGGGAAGTACCACTGTGCAGAAGCTAATGGATCATGTTCGAGGAAAAGTTAGGAGTCTTGGCTATGATTAAATATGTTGATTAAACGAGAGTAAAATATCATTTGAAATACAAATACAAATATGATTTGCCAAATAAAATTATTAAAACTTAAAAAAAACATGACTTTTTTGTTATTTTGAAAGTGTGCTTATACTTTCTTGAACAGTCTATATTTCATTGTGTATGTAGATTGTTGAAGCAATTTATTGAATAGTATTATAAATAATATTTTTCTTGATTACAAACCGAAGCAACAGCGATTCAACTCCAACAACCCTTTCGATGGGCACCAGGAAAAAAAAACAAAAAACGGTCCTTTTCAGGGCCACCAATTCAAAAACGAAAAGAGTTAAGGCAATAGATGTTCGATTAATTAAAAGAACTAAATGCTCTTCACATTTGTCCCGTGCACTAGCAGTCATACGTCAAGCTTCCGTTCGTGCCCCTAAGCACAGACACTTCTACTTTTTAATTTCGGCTAATGGATCTAGAAATCTTTTTCACATGGTGGATTGGAGTCCACTTTCATACATATTTGACGTATGGTGCATGTTTGACCCCATATTCTCCTATAATTTTTCAATATTATCCCAACTGTGAACAACATAATTGGTAGCTTCTACTAGAATTTACAAACTAAATAGATTATTAACCACGTTCAAATCCACACCTTTAATATACGGGATATTGAGGCAAAATGAGAACCAAACACTTATTTAGCGTAGGCAGGCGCAAGCGGAATCGATTTCTTGGGCTTTTTCCATTAAGAAAACATATTTGGAATTGCAGTGGCAGTACTATTTAATCCTTTTTGTTCCTAAAATCCCTACTGTGGCGTTGACCTTCACTTTCGAACCAGGATCTTCCCAAGAGAAACGGTGTTTCAATGGATCGAGGTGACATGGTGAGGAAATTGAAATAAGTTCTTCAATAAACTTGCAGTTGCTGTCTGAATCTCAAGATCATGATTCAAAACACACAAACTGAATCCGTCTTTATACGCAGTTACGATTTAATCATGTACATATGATTAAAACAATATTTCTTCTATAGGTCTAGTACAGTCAAATTGAATTGATTTGGAGCTCCGTGTTTCGTATGCACTACTGATTCGACATTTATTGCAAGCCTCGTAAAGCCTTTAAAATCCTCACAGATCTATCATCCATAGTCGCTTTCTATGTTCAATATTTACTTTAACAATCCGGCAACAGTTTTTGAAATCTAAGTTTACCCCTGCTGGCACCACTGCCAAACAACCTTGCAGCAGTTAGCAATCGTAGACGTAAAAACATTACTCTGGTTGTAGCATATTTACTCAAAATGCTCCATCCCATCGCGCCCTGCTTGCATTTTCTGGCAGATATCCACAGCTCCATTATTCGTCTGAGAGACAAAGCGTATTCAATACGACTCGCGACAATAGATACTCATGTTATAGAGGTGTGGATGTCAGCTGATGTATCCAACCGAAATCGTATGGAAATGCTCGTTTGGAGACAAAATTTGGTACATATCCGAACATCTATTACATGAGTATCTTTGCTCGCGACGCGTGGGCGATTGTGATATGGCAAAACTTCATTTTTCACGGATAGAATGAGCCTAGGGAATAACGACCAAGCCAAGTAGTGTGTGGTGAAAGCATCATCCTTTCAGTCAGTCACACTGTACCAGTTTTTCTTCTTTGTGTTTACGCTCCCGTTGTTCTGAATTTTCCTTTTCACTGTCCCAAAGTCATGCTTTCACGTTCGTGCTGTGGGATGGAAAGAATCGTGTTGTTCGCCTCTCTCTCTCTCTCACCCTCTCCGAACAAGCAAAACACAACAGGAGCCTCCTACTAAATGCGACCTTGCACGTTCTAATCCAATTTTCCACGAACCACCGAGCCGCATCAAGAAGAGTACACTTTTCACTTTTCGCACAATTACGGACCGAAATTTTTATCGGTTCTTCTATTCACCTTTAGAGATCCTTTTTTCTTTCTTTGAAAACCGAGACTCGGAGGCTCCAAGATGGGAATCCTCTCCTACCTCCTGTCACTCCATGGTATTTGCAGAGGAAAAATTGACTCCCCTTTGCCCGCTCTCCCCAGAGGAGCAAAATCCCCAGCAAATGGATATCGTCGGACACCGTGTGGTCCGGAAATGGACATCACACATCACATCGCCATAAAAACTTCACCAGCTCTTCTTGTGCTGAGGTTTAATTCGACTTCATAAATCACTAACCACTGCTGTGAACACTTGTTTCATTTTCCCTCGCCATGGGATTACGTTTTACCCCCTCCCCTATCGCACAAATTCTAGAGCACTAACCGAACTGATATGCGTGATATTTAGGTTTTCCGCTGAAAAATTCAACACTTTCCACCCTTCGGCTGCATGTACCCAATATACCTTTGCCACTGGTGGGTATCCCCGGGACGACGCGCTACGATTGCAAGAATATCCACAAGTAATGAGGATAATTTTTCTTCGGGTCCTTTTGCTTTTCCGCTTCTTTTTTTCCACACTTGGAACGAAGGGGGGACTCCCGCTACACTCGGAAGGACAAACCTGGGAAGGTTGTCCTCTGCTTTGTCTCCGTGCAACGACGATACGAATGGGACCGATTCCGAGGGAGAACTGATTTGGGAAAATTCGACTGCCACCTATCTCTCTGGTTATCGGCTGGTTCTGGCCTTGCTCTCACGCCTGGGGGGGGGGGGGATATACAAAAGGGAAGTGGTGAGGGAGGGAAGGGAGAGAGAGCTTTCTGAGTTGGTGAGTTTTCCGGATAGTGTGTTGGTTGGAGAGAGAAAAGCTTTCGCTGTGGAAGTTTGGTGGTAGGTACACTGAACTATGTTTCTGAATAAAATTGAAGGAGGGTAGAACAGGGGACAAGTGCACTCCGGGCTAAACGCCCGATTTGGTTTTTCCTAGCTATACAACTGTTAATTCTGGGATCTTTTGCCCCGAAATGTTAGTTTAAGTACAAAAGTAGTCAAGTTTATGAATTAAAACGACAATGCTATGAAAAATCACATTGGGCTTTTTAACCCGGGATGCTTTTTGGGCTGTTTTCCCCTACAGGAATCCCCCGAATGGGTGGTGCTGTCTCCACTCGGAAATTTCTCGGCTGTCATCCATCCAACTGAGCTGATTTATGTATGCAATTAGGGTCAATCGTAAACTTGTCACATACAGAAAATCATTTGGTTGGAAGACAGCCGAGAAATTGACTTGGGTGGACGGCACCACCAACCGCGCTATTCGGAGGATTCCTGTAGGGGAAAACAGCCAAAAATACATTCCGGGTTAAAACCGCCCGATGCGATTTTTCATAACATTGCCGTTTTTAATTAATAAACTTGATAAACCACAGTGCTACTTTAGTACTTAAACTAGCATTTCGGAACAAAAGATTCCAGAATTAAGATTTGTATACTACTAAATAACCTATAATTAGGAAGTGTTTTTGATCTAATTTCCGCCCTACTAAGTACAACTCGCGCTTTACCTTTCTTTTTTGGACGATTTAAAATAAATTGAATATTTCTGTCAAAGATGACTTCTAAATTTATGCACCTTTCCATACGTACCGTTGAATTTGATAAAGAGTTACAAATTGTTGTGATACTGTTTAAAATCTAATACTGTTTCTTGATTCTAAATTCGTTTTACGAGTTTCAATTCCATCCTAACGCATTGAAACGCCATTAGATTTTCTTCGTCCTACGGATAAACGTAGAAAAAGGAGATTCGCTAGGAACGCTTCTTTTGTTTTGAGAAGAATGAGCGTAAATATTCATTCAATGCGCTCTAACAGGATTTTATGTTGTAGCTAATGAACTAACGCATCGAAATAAACCTATTATTGATTTCTGCACGGTGAAATCATTGATATTATTGATCCTTTCTGATCGATAGAACGGAATTGGGCGATTACGACGAAGTAGCGCTCTACCCTACTAATCTTCCTAACAGCTTCATTGGAAGCATTTTTACAGTCAACGTGGCATGTTTTGTACGTGATGCGGTTTTGCAGCTTTTACTCCGCTTCTTCAACAAAGCTGAATAAACCTGTCTGAAAAGACAAATCCAAAGAAAAAAAAAGCTGAATAAAGAGTCGAGAAAAGTGTTGAATGAAAACAGACGATGACAGCTTTCGACCAGAGGAACGGCAAGCGAACGGATTAGGGTGAATGTACTAATTTTCGAGGAAATCTAAAGAAATCTTTTTGCTATAGGCAAATCCATTATTTCTATATTTCTTTTCAGTCTCTGGTGATGAATAGGCAAAAAATTAAGATTCATAAAACTGTCCCTGCGGTTATGATCTTCCGGATTTTTGATTTGTGGTTATTTGAGCTGTAAATCAGTTCAGATCTGTGGAAAATGGTGAAATAAGACCTCTCCCGATGCAATATGTGCAATAAAATATGCAGTATTTTAAGTTTTGAAAATCATCATTATGATGTAAACAAACGATTTGGATGATCAAAATAGACTAGTGCACTCCCCGAGTAGGAAAAAATAACTTATTAATACCAAATTCAGGTATGAAAGTAGCATAACTGGCAAACCTTAATATGGTATTAGTGAGGCTGACATCAGAGGTAAAATACCAAAAATAATACCTCAAAAATATTCTATGAGTAACGAACTAATAAATAATTCAGTTATAACAATAACAAACGGACAACAGACGCTTTTTTAGATGCCAGAATACCATAGTTTGTTATTTTGAAGGTCTTCTAATACCAATTCAATAACTCTTTTGGGTGTTATTGTCTAAAAACTGAAAGATCACATTTTATTATTTTGGTATTCATTTGATATTTTACAAAATATTTCGATAACTGAATAATAACAAAACATGGTTTTATACCACAAGCATACCAACATTTGGTTTCATACCACATTAAGACATTCATTTGTTATCGATTAGCTATCAGTTCCTGCTCGGGTATGGGCTAATAACTGAGCAATAGCAAAGCCAGATATTGGCATTTCACATGAGCCCGAACTGGAGAAAATAACTAATGAATACCTAATTCTGATATGATACCAAAATTTGGTGTTGGTCAGCATGACATCCCGAACACGAACAAATATCTTGATACCTTAAATTGGTATGGATGAGCCTGACATAAGAGGTAAAATAATGCAAAAAAAAAATAATACCAAAAAATTGTTCACACAATACCATTCCAATACCATTTTATGATAATGCAATACCAAAACAATACCACACATGTATTCGTTTGGTATCCAAATATCAATTTTCGTTATTTATAAAGTATTTTGCATGCATTTTTTTGATATTATTATTTGGTATTTTACCTCTTATGTGAACACAAAATTTTGGTATCAGATCAGAGTTAGGTATTCATTAGTTATTTTTTCATGCTCGGGATGTCATCGTATTCACCGTCGTAGTCGCCGTAGGCAGTATCGTTAGTATATTTAAAATTAACCATCAACCGCTGAAACTATATGAATTATGGCGTATTTCTGTTGTTCATTACATACCAAGTAAAATTCGAAAACGTAATTTCATTTGAATAGCTTGTTTAACCAGGGCTTAAACAATTGTCACGTCAGTCATAGTTTGTTATGATTGCCTGAACAATGCGTTAAGACCAAACCGAAACATTGATCGTCGCGTGAAAGTACTCTTTCGTAGCTTTTAGTTTTCGGATTTGAAAGATCGTCGGTTGCAGTGGCTTGCTTACTGAGCTGAAAAACGCGGTCCCAGGTCCAGTATGGTGAGTATGGTAAGATCGCTTGTTTATCGTGTATTTTGTAAAACTTTTCGGTGTCGTCGGTGCCGAGTTTGAATAGTTATAACAACTTGAGTAACGGTATAATGTGATATGAGGGGCTCGGTGGCCTTAGAGCAACCGTTTTTGCTTACTGAGCAGAACATCATGTCACATCACATTTAAGATTCTTCAATCGTTTTATTTGTTAACATAACTACATGGTAATAACAGCAACTCGATGATTAAAAAGGAGCTCGTGCGCCTAGTGGCAAACGTTTTTGCTTACTGAGCAGAATACCGTGGGTTCAATCCCAAGCTCCTTTGCGTTATATGATCGTTAGGACATCAATTCAGCTTATCGTTTTCCAAAACGAAGCCTGTTGCAAACCCAACCCTATTACCCAGTATCCCAGTGATTCCTCGTGGAAGTGCAGAGGTGTTCTCGGCTTCCATCAAAGCGAGTGTCACGTCAACATATTCCTATCCCTTCCTTTCTTGACCTGGTTTCTTTGCTAGAAGGTTCTGACGAGCAGCGATCCAGGAAGATTATTGAGGATATATCGATTCGTCTTCCATCAGGACGCTTTGGAACAGGAATCTTGTTGAGGTACGACCATGTTAATTTCCCGGTCAGTAAACCTATGGCAGATCAAAGGATTAAATAATTGGAACGTCGGTTGGTGCGGAACCCTGAGCTTTATGAGAACGTAAAGAAGCAGCTAGTCGAATACGTGGACAAAGGGTACGCACACAAAATTACCCAGGATGCGATGCTCGGTTCAGATCCCAACCGAGCGTGTTACTTACTATCAGCCTTGATGGAGCCTCGCTCGCGGGTTTGAAATGAGCCGAGCGTAGCATTTTTCTGAGGAGTAGAAAGGAGTAGGAGCCAAATCATTCCAAATTAGCTTCAGAGCGAAGGGGGATAAAATGAGAGTGAAGTTTGCTGCCTCATGTTCATGTTTTCTATCACACGCTCTTACCATAGAGGTAACTCTAAGACCAGAAAGTCCCGAAGAAATGTGCTCAACTTTTTGGTTCAGTTCTGGTACTCTCTTCGGTCCCAAGCTAATCGATGCACCATAGGAAACATAGGAAAATCCATGAACCCCTCATTTTATCTGTCAAACTTTCATAGCGAATCAAAGTAAACACAGTGTAGTACTAGAATTTCGACTAGATGAAAAAGTCATCCGGAGTCTCGAAAAACGCACCTCACGTCAAGTCATCCTCTCGCTCTCTCGAGGTGTTTTTGTCTTCTTCTTCCTTATTCCTAACTAAGAGAAGAGATGACAATACGGGTGCGAAAATGAACCACTTTTCTGTCAAACGTGAACCAGCTCCTGATTGGCCGATTTCATGTGCGTAAGATAGAGATAGAGATAGATAAAGATAGATATAGAGATAGAAATAAAAGAGGAAGAAACCAATTGTCATCTCTTCCTCTTAGATTCCTACCGCCACTCACTCGAGGTGAGGGCTGACTTAACTCGCAGTGATTTTGAGGAGTTTCAGCAAGCCTGGTTTTCAGTTGCTTGTGAAATAATTGTGCAAAAATATGTCAATCGACTTCAGCCCACCGATGATGGCAGATTTCAACACAAACATCAGGTTGCTATGTTTATTTGATGTTAGTCAATGCGAGCTACTCAGAGTTACTAAAAATTAACTCCGATTTTACTCATGATCAAAACCTGTCTTGCCCTTTGGTGAATTTTAATAAAATAATAACTATGGGGAAATAAAGCAGGAAATTTGCTGCTTAATTCATGAAGAACACATAGACAATTATATTTTTTTGCACTTATTTTACAACACTTATTTCTTATTGTTGATACTTATCGAATTTACTAACCGACATAAAACTGCTTTCGTTCTGTTCGCCTCCAATACT